TATATAAGTCCGGTGCCTTGCTCAAGGGCACCACGGCAGGGCAGGAGGTGAACTGGGACCTCTCCAAGTAGAAGTCCACACTACATATCCTAGGTCTGGTCAGGGACTTGAACCGGCGACCCTACGACTCACAGTCCAAGCCCCTACTTTTTTATTTTATTTTTAAATCTTTTATTATCAAAAATAGACATTTAACATCTCATCACAACTACATAAAGCATTGCTCATAATACACACATTCAATAGAGTCCTTTTCCACATGTATTAGCACAAGGTTAATGTCCCTTTTTACTGTCCTCTTCATTATATGCACTCTGACATTTTACCCTCGAAATGGGCAATGTTCCTCCTTATTTGGACCGCATGCCTTGCATGGCTCAGAACATAATTTAAAAGATTCACATTGCATTCATCCTTCTTCTCAATCACACCAAACAGCCACAGCTCCTTCCATTCCATTTCTCTCACATACCATTCATTCCAACATCTACCAATTAACTCTTTCATCCTTCCAAAAAAAACAACAAGCTCTTTACATTCAACAAACTCATGCAAACACGTTTCAACCTGATCCCTACACACATCACACTCTCTCTCAACAGTTGCATCAAAATGGCTAATGATCAGGTTGTTAAACACCCTATTATGCCTCAACAAAAAATCAAAGTTATCACATTCAATACTGTTCCACTTAATTTTCACATTCTCCCACATTCTCCTGCCAGTCATACCATTCACAACACTCATCCACACTTTTTCTGATGCAGGTCTTCTAATCACATCCCCTTTTAACCACCCCTCTAGCACCCACACTCCCATTATTTACATACATTTCTCCCATCCATTCTTTCCTTACATCCTCCACACACCTTTCATCCCAATGTGTCTCTTGCAAGCAAATCATGTCTGAGTCACATATCATTAAGGCCTGCTCTCTCCTGTCCTTGGACCTCAGCCCATTTCCATTGAAAGAGGAAATTGTCACCATTACAAGTGTTATTAAGGTTATTATTGTTTTCATTCTATTTATTTTTTGTCCGGACACTTTGCAACTCCTCCTGTCGCTTTCACCCGTCTTCTCTCCACCGCTTTCTCGTTATCGGCTTTCCTCTTTGCATTCAGCCTGCTGGATTCTCTCCTCATTCCTCTGCTCTTTAACCCAGCATTCGCCTCGCCAAAGATCTTCTCCTCTATGGGTCCTTTCATCTCCACCTCCTCGTCCTCATACTCGTTCTCCTCGTCGTCCCCTCCCTCCTCCATGTCCGACACAACCGAGCTGACCTCCATTCCCTCAGCCGTCTGTCCTCCGCCTCCTTCTCCTCCTCCTCCTCCCTCTCCTCCCACCGACAGCTCCTCCTCCAGCCTCAGGATCAGGTTCAACTTCAACGTCCGCTTCAGCCTCGATATCAGTTTCTGCCCCCAGAATTACATCCACCACAGCCTCTACTTCAGTCTCAACCAAACCTTCACCACTCCTCGCATTCTGTCCATCATCCGCAGCAGCCGGAACAGCAGCAGTATTGGCTCTGCTACGACACATCTTTCCTTCGTCTGCTTTCCCCTTCTTCCTCCGTCCGTCTCCTCCACCATCCATGGCAGCCGCGTCAGCTTCTCTCTTTGCGGCAGCCGCCACAAACACCGCCGCGACAGCAGCCACAGCTTCCTCGTTTATCCTGCTCCCAGCCTTATCACTTATATCCTCTTCTTCACTCTCTTCCTGACTTCCACCCTCCTCTTCCTCCATTCCATTCTCCGCTGTGTTTTCCGCCTGGGCACTTTCTCTCCCCCTGGCTCCGCTTGCCCCCTCCTCCCGAGTCACACAGTCCCGGGCATAGTGTCCCTGCTTGGCACATTTATAGCATTTAAACTCAGGGCATTCTTTGTATAAATGCCCTGGCCTTATGCACATCCTGCAGACCGGTACCTGCTTGTCGTGAATCACCCTGAATTATTCCGGCCCCTCTAGAGTCTCGAACCTTGTGGAGTACGGAAGTGACCGCACTTCCTTATTGAATTCCACTCTCAGAAACCTCGTCCCATCAACCACATCAGTGCCGGTCCACATTCTTCTCTTTATTGCCGAGACAGGCAAAACCCCCCACATTGCCAATCTGCTTTTAATTGTAGTGTCCAATATATACGAAGGTATATTTAGGAATGACACCGTGAGTTCTTTTGCCATGCAGTCTCTGCCCCGCACCAAAACCCCATTGATTCTTATTCCATCCAACAGTTTATTTTTTCCTTTTTCTTCAGCCATTGTCACTTCATATAGCCCATTTCCTTTCACCCGACATCCCATCACAATCCCACATTCTTTCTTAACTCCTTTTAGCAGATCCATAACAGTTACCACTGCTTTCCCACTCTCCACCGCCACCACCACTGTCAGCTCCTTTTTATATTTCTCCTCCTCCACAATCAACTCAAACTCCTCTCTCACCTCCTTTTGTTTTCCTACTCCTGTTTTTTCATTTTGTCCATTTGCATTTTCGTTGTCATTGTCCTTTCCTTTTCCATTCACAGTTGTCCCGTCCTTCTCCGCACTCTGCTGTAGTGTGTCAATGTCCGTGATCCGTGACGCAGTTGATAAATCCATTCCCGTTTTCTTTGCCAGTTTATCCATCCGATCGAAAAAACACACAGGTCAGGGGAAACCCCCAGCCAGCAAGGCTGTTTGGGGGGGACTCAGAACAAAAAAAAACACAACTATAAGTTTGACGAAACAAAAGCGATCCACAAAACAAACAATTCACTTATTTCCTCCTGAGACCAAAGTCCTCTCACAGTCCAAGCCCCTACTGACTGAGCCACTGCCGGACAATCAAAACTATACACAATACTAACACGTTATCCCGACTTTTTATTTTCTCTCTCTTTTTTTCCAGGTCCCTTTAGGGCAGTGTTTCTCAAAGTGGGGTGTGCAGAGGCATGACAAGAGGAAACATTTTTATAAAAAAAGAAAAAAAAATCAGAATTTGAAAAATTATTGATTCGAAAATAATATGATACAGTACAGTAAAATTACGTCTAGGTCTTTGTATTTTATTCAAGCTCGGTTCTGTGTGGAACGAGCCATTTTGTGTGCGTGCGCAAGCGAGAGAGAGAGACTAGCACCAGAAGCTAACAACAACGATCTCCGGCACCGAGATCGTTGTTGTTAGCTTCTGGTGCTAGCGAGCTACGCTAACGGATATAAGGAGATTTTTCAACAACAAGGTGGAGGAGAGTCCTCTCCTGACAGACTGAGAGGCTCAGTGAGCTAAAGGACTCTCTCAGTGTTTAGATAGTTCACGTTTTGGTCACGATTAATGTAAACAATTATTTCCGAGGCTCCCGTTTATATGATCATTATAGTTATAAAAAAATGAGAGAATAAATGAAAAACAGGTTTGAAATACTATATGACAGTAAAACAAGAATAAAGTTTAAAAGGGGAGTGATTTGTAAAATATCCATAAAAAAAGTAAATCTGTTTACAGTTCTGTTTCATATGGGTGTCTTCATTTTGCTCTCAAAGTGCACCAGATTGATGCTTTGAACTTCAATATTTAAAAACATAATCCTCCCGGGGGAGCTTGCCCCCGGACCCCCCTATGTTAGGTCCACGCCCCACTTATAAAAATAGCACTTTACCCCTGCTTACACCTATATGCCATGAGCTGATTATCGAGCCTTCATTGTAACAGTCTCAGCCAATGACAGCTCTGCATGCATCCCCTGGATATTATTTTGTGTGTATATGCGTGGGGATTGTTGCAGTAGAAAATTCCACTGTAGCGCCCGGTACATTAATGGGAAACCCTAAATGTTTGAGCACCCTCTATGAAACGTCAAGCTACCCCACAGCACCCCCAAAAGAAATCTCTGGCACCGCCACTGAGCCGTTTTGAAGAAATGTGCAGTGCCAAACAGGCTCATTGCAGCCACTAATGATAAGACACACTTTTTTTGCCAAATATCAGCATTTTCTTTCTTTTCATTTTTTTGCACAGATTGCAAAGTATTATAACTTATTGTTCTAGCAAAGGGATTGCACAATTGTATTATGTATTTATTTTTTCTGACCACACAGACTTATGGAGCATTGTTTTATTATCACTGATCTAGCAAAGTGATTTTTTTATTTTTCTTAAAGGAACGTTCATATTGATGTATTTTAATCAATAAATGTTAACTTGGCCCATTACGTGACTATTTGTGATGGGGGGGCCCGACTTTTTTTTCCTCCAAAGACAGAAAAAGTTTGAGAACCACTGCTTTAGGGGCTCCGTAGAAATCTCAGCCCTGCTCTGCAGTAGTTTTCACGACTCTCACTGGACCAACGTTTTGGATGTATAATCCAACCAGATATCATCTTCTTCTGTGTCAAAACAATCTTGTTATGAAATACTAGTCGTGATCATTTTTGTTCTGAACCCATCGAAGCACTTGATGAAGTACATCTTCACATTTTGAGCAATAACTTCTATTAAAAAAGAAGCATTTATAGATTCACTGGGAACACATATGGAACACATCTGAATAGACATGTTCATATGATGGACAATGACAGACACACACCACCAAACACTGTGACCCCTCAAGTGAGAAGCAGTGCTGACTGAGCGAAAATCATAAAACACGAGGTTAAAGGAGGTTATTGACTTCCACGAGAAGATCCTCGCTCTCTTTCACTGCATTCATGTCCTTTGAGAAGAAATGAGCCACACTTGAATACACTTCATATTTAACTTTCAATGTTTTTAACACATTACACCAATTATGTTCTCATTTCTCTCCTCCTGTCTGTCTGTCTGTCTGTCTGTCTGTCTGTCTGTCTGTCTGTCTGTCTGTCTGTCTGTCTGTCTGTCTGTCTGTCTGTCTGTCTGTCTGTCTGTCTGTCTGTCTGTCTGTCTGTCTGTCTGTCTGTCTCTCTGTCTGTCTGTCTGTCTGTCTGTCTGTCCTGGTCTGTCTGTCTGTCTGTCTGTCTGTCTGTCTGTCTGTCTGTCTGTCTGCAGCTAGGTTTTGCTGATCTCAACATAGCTGAGTTTGCTGGTTCAGGCTCCACAGTTCGCTGTTGCATCCTGGAGGGTTATGACACCAAAAACACCCGGCAGGACAACTCTATCCTCAAGGCAGGGACAACACACACACACACACACACACACACACACACACACACACACACACACACACACACACACACACACACACACACACACACACACACACACACTCATCCCTGTGGTTTAGTAACACGTCTTCATTTATAGGTAACAATTGGAATGACTCTCCTGTCTGGGGATCCCTGCTTTAAAATGTGAGTTCCTCTTGGTCAGGGATTCTGACTCTGTGCACACCCTATCAGAAAAAACACAAACAAGCTATAGCTTTAACCTATACTTGTTACATTTAGGTAAATTAGACCGATAGTGTAGATTAGCCAGAGTAAGCCAAAGGACCTATTCGTAGTTCCAGTTTGCTGTGTATGCATTGATGCACATTAAACCAATTTATGAACATTCAGCACATACTGTAAGATATATGATACTAACAGTCACACTGAATCTTAAAATATGAGTATCATGTGTGTTCATATTCTACTTAACAATGACTCAGCAAAGGAGTACCATTTTATTGCAAGATTACACCAACCTAAGACTTAGTGTTTCAATATTATACAATACAACTTGTTATACAACTTCAATATCTACATTTCAGTTTTTTGACAATCCCAATATGCAACTGTCCCTGTTCCCCTCTGACCCACAAATGAGACTGTGACTGTGGTGACTTTATTTGAGTTTTTGACATCACTAGGCCTCCCAACACGACCAAATCTGTCTCCATTGGAGACGAAGACCCAACCCTGCAGCTAGACTGTAAGGGGGAGAGCACTGACCCCACAGGGCAGCCTCTGGGGGGCGTCAGCGGGGGGGCACGCACCTTCAAACCCAGACAGTCATCAGTACGTAGCTCAGGTAACTGCTCAGCATGGTTCCCTGTGTCCATAGCGTTTTAATGGTAATATAAGTAGATCAAGATAACATACAAATATTTAAATTACATCCCAAAATGATTAAAGAGTAAGTATGTTTTCCAATTTTGTCGAACCAATTTTTTAACAGGTATTCAAGACAACATTTTACAAAATAAAACAAAAAAATGCCAGTTGGCAAGTTCTGATGTGAAAAACCTAAATGTTTGAAAGTGACAGAGAGACACGGCTAAAGGCTTCAGAATGGACCGGATCATGTTTCTGATCCATGTTCTTCAGTCAGATGTGTGTGTGTGTGTGTTTACGGTGTGTGTTCTGCAGGGCTTCCTGAGGAGGGGGAGTGTGTGTCAGAGGAGGTCTTCCACACTGGTCATATCCGCAGCTCCAGCCAAGCCAGCCAGCACAGCAAGATCTCAGGTCAGGAGGGGGGCGGGCATCTGGCACGTTCTAATACCACATTCCATCATGTGCACTGTTAATAATGAATGCATATTACATTAGTTTCCCTATCTGATTGCACTGAAAAAACTGAAACATTGACTTTAATTCAATGTTTTATGTCAACAGATTTCTCATAACTATATTACTGCAGGTTAGTTGAAATCAATAATATTAAGTTGAACCTAATACATTTTATTTAAATGTAATATTATTGCTTTCAACTAACCTAATACAGTTATATGTAATTGATTACATAATACGTTTATTAAAGTCAACGAAAGTTTTTCGGTGCAGCATTCATTCTGTACTCACCACTACTGTCACTAATTTGTCCTTTTAACTAAAAGGAGGTTTTCATTCAGTCATTGAACCAAACACTTCCTGCAGATGTTTTTGAGAGACACTCAGGCTTTATGTGAAACAACAAGATCAAGACTAAGATCATGAACTGTTTGTCTGGAGTCTACACCACACTTCCACAAACAAATCATCTCCTCTCCTCTTCTCCTCTCCTCCAGGCTACAGCACGGCTCACTCTCGCTGCTCCAGCCTGACTGACCTCAGTCACCAGAGGAACGCCTCCTCCAGCAGTAGTGTTTCCACTGGGTTAGCCCAGAACGCCCCCTCAACCTCCACCGAGCCTCAGCGACATGCATCTCCCACCAAACCAGAGAGGCCCCCCCCCCCCCTCTGCAGCAGCGCTCATGTCCAACAGATCCTCCAGGTAGATACACACCTGTGACATAACACCGAGGCGTGTCTGGACAGCATCACTCTGACAGAAGTCTGAATCTCAGGCATGTGTAAACCTGCAAGCCAGAAATTCTTTAGGCGCTCATGATGTGAGAGGAGGATTGTGTGGAGTGTGTGTTGCTCACACTGAATGCCAACCAGCACAAAAACAAGCCTCATACCCTCACTCCTCATGTGCTGTTGTCAAAGAGCAACTATACAAATAAAATGACACTACCTATACCTGACAGTAAATACTTACACACTTTATTAGAACACACATTTCCTTTTCGTAGCATTTGCTTTCTGGATTTATCAGTTATAAAGTCCATTAATCATACAAAACATTCCTCCTAAAGTTACAAAATGCATTTGATCAACTAGCGAGGCATTCTGCTGAATGAAATGTTGTTTGGTTTGGTTTAGACCATTTTGGTCCAGACATCTGTGTTCTCCAGAGGACAAATCATCTGATTTCATCCAGAACCACAGAGGGCGGCACTCAATCATTTCAGAACTAAAACAACTCTCATAAGCTGCAGTTTTCTTTAGGGCTTAACAGCAAATGTTGGCATGCTAACACTAAATTATAGAGAAGGGGCAACATCATTGTGCAAGGTCACCGCTCTCTGTTCACATTCATTTATTCATTTTCAACCACAAGCCCACACAGAGACAACCCTGTGATGAAACAAGCTCTAAGAAGTTTAGTTCAGCAGCTTTGTTTGAAAGGCTAAGGAGATCAGTGGGTGAGGAGACAGCTGCAATGGTAGCTAACGCTACATGTCTTCATGAAGCTCCTGAAACAATATGATGTTAAAACGTTGGCCCCAATGCTAACAGCATTGATATCTATGCAAAGTGGGGTGTTACAACTATTTCCGATTATCATGTTACTGAGAATATAGCTATTAAAAGTACAATTTTAAAGTGTAATGTAGTTTGTGTCTCAATTCAGATACACTACCATGTCGTACTCTGAACTGTGAACACTTTGCACTTACACTGAAAACCCTGAAACGTTGACTTTAATCAAGTTTTTTATGTCAACAAATGTCACATAACTGTATTAGCTTAGTGGAAAGCTGTAATATTAGGTTTAAACAGGTTCAACTTAATATTATTGCTTTCAACTAACTTAATGTGAAATGTGACTTAATACTTTTAATTAAAGTCAACGGTTTAGTTTTTGCAGCATACTCTGGTAGTGGGTGAATTTGAAATGGTATAGCTGTCTACAGAGGAGCTCTATCAGCTCTGAAACACACAGCGTCTGTCAGTCGATACATTCAGTGTTTATTTTGGGTCTGCTCATGGGATTTGCTTAGAAAAAGATCACTCAACCCCCCCTCTAAAATGATCAATTGTGGCAAAAAGCAGGACGTTAATGCTTCCTGACTTTGAGTGTATTTCAGACATTAATGTTATTTTCCTGTCGTCAGGAGGAAGAAGGACCTGGTGGAGAGGCAGCCCAGCTGTGTGGACGACACCCGCATCGATGCAGGCGACATCGTGGAGAAGATCGTCCAGAGCCAGAACTTTTCTGACAGCAGCAACAATGAAGGTAGGACAGAGTTTATGGGATGTAGGTCAGCATGTGTGTATCATAATGTAAACGTCTCTCCTGGATTCCTTGTTTTCCTTCAGACAGCAACTTGAGACTGTTTGTCAGTAAAGATGGAACCACCGCCCTCAGCGGGACACAGCTCTCCAACAGGTACGCAGTTTTTATCTACTGTATCTTTTAACAATCTACTTTCTTTTATCTGACCGAGCATGTTTCTGTGTTTTCCCAGAGGAACACCTGGTATCTTTGAGCCGGTGGTCATCGAGACTCACTGAGAGATATCACCTCTGCAGCTCACCAGCTGGGAAGGATTGTGTGACATCAGATTGTCTGTGACTGTATGTGCAAGGCTGCATACTGTTCTTCAGGGCACACGACTTGAAATAAGTCGACAATATAAATGAGGAATCTTTATTAATTAATCAGGAGGTACACTGAAACGTTGACTTTATCTAAATGTATTAAGTTGAACCTATTTAAATGTAATATTATTGCTTTCGATTAACCTAATACAGTTATGTGAAATGTGTTGACATCATACATTGAATTAAGTCAACGTTTCCGTTTATTCAGTGTGGGAAGGGTGCAAGACATGATTACTGTATTTTCTCAAATGAAGGAAAAAAAAGGTATTTTTTACTATATTAAATTATGCTATAAGTACATTTTAAAATATTCAGATTTTCTCCCTGTTGCCATGTTGATTTACGGTTCTAGTTGTTTGCTGTTAATGCAGAATGAACGTGTCCTCTATGTATCTGTTTGACTTTAAAACACTGGCAGCCGTGCAGAGGAAACCTTCCTCCTCTTTATTGCCAAGCTTCTATCATGGAACGTCCAGGTTGAGTTTTGTTGCAGCAGATGAGCTAGATGCTCTGATTTATCTGTAGTAAATATAGCAGTAATCTAAACACTGCATTCTATTTGAGGATTTACAGTAATACAATAATGTCCTCTACATTGGGTGTGTGTCAAACCTGTCACTGGCTTAGCAGGTTCATTGATCACTCATTTTGCAGTCCCTGCAGAATGATTTGAAAAAATCAGCTCAATTTAATATTTTCCAGTATTTCTTTAAGGAAATTGAAGTTAAAGCTAAATATGTTTTCTACAGCACAGTACACATGTGAGCTCCTGGACCTCTCCTCTTAACTCTTCCTTAACTCCCCCGACCATCACTGATCATTTTTTATCTAATGGTTCATATTTCTCCCTCGCAGTCATTGGACAGTCTGATGAGCTGCAATGCATTTTTGGGGCAGTTAGCGCGCGTCTAATATACAATTCAAGATTAATGACACATCCACGCAAAAATCCACAAACAATTTGGACATCATACTGGTTTCATTATTATGTTAGTCTGGGATTTGGAACACTGTCAGGCCTTGAATAGAACATAGCCATCGTTCATTTGTATTAGTAGTGTGTTCACATGTAATAATGTCTGCCAGAAAAAAGCTTTCGTGCCTGTTATTGTTAATGATGATGGCAAACAAAACAGATACACTCATTTCTTAAATAAAAACAGGGAGGGGTCTGAACTTTTATATCTGCCCTCCCCATGGATAATATTATTAGCTTTAGCTGAACTTTACAATGAAAAGACACGTGATACATGTAAATGCAAAAAAACCATAAAATGATTTAAAGTTCTACAGTTAGCATTGTTACAACTACAGTTGCACAATTAATTTCTTTGACACTTTTGCTAGAGATGTGTTGGTGGTCACTGATCAAGGGACCAGTCTGAAACACACCCAGTGACACTTTGACCAGGGCTACGTGAAAGAGTTACTTGAACAATACCCTGAAACCCTGCATCCTGGGAACTATAGTGCAACACTGAAATAATGCTGCGTTCAGGAGGGCCTCGTTAACTTATACAAATGACTGTTCTGCGGTCCAGCTGATGCACTCACCTCTGATGACCACACAAGTCAGATATGATTCTATCCTGTTATTTGTTTTTGCATTTTATTTACGCAGATTCTTTTAGCCAAAGCAACTTACAATACGTGCAATCAACGATGAGTAAGAATCAAGAATGACTTAGGCCAAACCTTTCTAATTGTTACGTCGAGGAATAAGCCTTGTAAAGGCCAGGATGCAGTGAAAGCAGCTTCCAGATGTTTCTCCTGCTTGATGAGCACCTCCTGAACGCAGCACCAGAGCCATGAAAGGCTGGAACTGGAACATTAGCTTTTATTCTTTTATTATATTGTTTAAAACTTGATCACTATATGTACTTAATATACTATTTTGCACAGGTGTACTCTCTGAGGAGGATTGTTAGAAACCACTAAATGCATGGTTGTCTTAAATGTCATGTTCTGTTTTTATTTCTTTTATTTGTATTTGAATGCTTCTGTTGGGGAAATGTGTATATTGGTGTATCTCACAGAGGCTGCTCTTATGAGACAGCACAAAGCATGTATTCATATGGCTGGCCATATGTAACCGTCCTTCCTCTGCACTTACTAAGTACTTTGAATCTGAATGCTCTTGTAAACTAAACAAGAATGATGGATTTTGTGGTGATGTACTTGCTTCCTCTTGGGTTGTTAACCTTTGGCTAGATTCACTCCTATCCATGTCAAACCCAGGCTACTCCCTAAGTGCTCCCCAATAAGCTGAGCTCAGAATGCAGACTATTAGAAGATCAGGACACGATGAAGACAGGCTGCGAATAAAGTTCATTAGAACTGCATTGTTTGATTCTAGCAGCAGAAGAAGCAGTCATTGATATATCACATCATGGAGTTGTTATGGCTGTTGTGTTAGCAAACAATTGGAAAGAGAACATTCATGAGGAATGTTTATGACCATACACACTCTCTTTCTAGTTTGGTCTCAACCTAATCCTAAATCACATTTCTGACTCTTCCCCACTACATGCTTCTTTCTTCACCAGCTAGTTGCTATTTTCTTCTATGTTCACTTTGCTGCTGGATCGTAGGTCTTCTGAGATCTTTTTGTTCACATCAGCAGATGCTTCTTGTGGTTAGCAAACTGAACATGTTTAATGTTTTTAAAAAGTGATTATTATTAGTCGAAATAGCTTGAACGACACTTCTGATTAAAATGAGGTACGAACTCCTGACTGAATTAGCTTTTGTTAAAGTCAAGGGGTTTTCACTTTTTCCAACCTACTCTGTGAATGTTTGAATTATTTATTCAATATGGACAAGAACAAAACAAGCATTTGTGTGCTATGAGTTAAAACCATATTTTAGAACACATGTATATGTAAATGCAGGTTATTCCAAGGGTTCACTCACTTGTTCTTGCCACTGTAGTTCTGTTTCTGAGAGGAACAGCTTGTGAACTCTGTCCCTGTGTGGAGTTAACACTGAGGGTGGGGGGGGGGGGGGGTCTGAGGTCAGTCCCACAGCTGCAGCAGCACAAAGCCCTGTTGAACTCTGACACAGTACAGTAGATGCTCACCAACAGGACTTGTGTGTGTGTTTCTGTATGTGCAGTGTGTGTATGGTAATGTCTGTGTGTGCCACTGTTTGCATGCTGGACATGCATGTTTGACTGACCTTTTGATCTTGGCTCTGGTCTATCAATCCCTGTAATAACTGCATAAACACTAGGACCAAGTGTAACATAGGGCATACTGGGGTGTCCCATGGGGGGATTTATCACAGCTGTCACATTATAACATGGAAATGATGGATATCGATACAGCTTAGTGCCAGGAAGAAGTCAACTAGTGGCCTACTTTCATTTCTGTTTCTTTAAACACATGCTTTTCTTTTTATTCCCCTCTTCTAATACTAATCTGTATCATTTGATGGTTATGAATGCAGTTTTCTAGTCCCCCACCTGAACACACTGAAAAGGCTGTGTGGTGTTTCACTTAAAGGTCCCATGTCATGCTTTTCCGGTTATTACCCATCCCCTTGTGTTATGTAGCTTTTTCTGCATGTAAACGGTCTGCAGTCACAAACCCTCAAAGTACACCATGTAGGGCAGGAGTGTCAAACTCAAATTTCATCTCGGGCCACATTAGCATCATGGTTGCACTCAAAGGGCCAGTTTTATATATAAGACTATATGAAAATACATATATAAATATTTAATATATATAAAATAATGTATTATATATTACATTATTGCCTCTATTGGATTATTATCGGATAGGGTAATAACTTCATAATGAACTACGTCTGAAAGCAGAAGCTTAGGGCAAATAATTGCAAGTCTCTTCAGTTAGAATGTCACAAAATGATTTAAAAAGTTAAAAAAAAGGGGGGAAAAGTGATATTTTGAAGAAAAAAGTAACATTTTGAAAAAAAAGGCAAATTTGAGATGTATTGTGGGACATCTAGTTTATGGGCAACGTGCTTCTGTAAATCGTCATGTAACCGAATAATAAACATATTATATTCTTTGCAAGCTCTTGTGGGGCCACATTAAATGAAGTCACGGGCCGGATTTGGCCCCCGGGCCTTGAGTTTGACACCCTGCTGTAGGGAGTAAAACTCTAACACAGAGAAGACCTGTCTGTGCTGCCCCAGAACGCCTCGTTGGACATTTCTCTTTTTCCATTTGTTTCTCACACACCAGGACCTTTAGCGTAAATGTTCAACTAACAGGGAGTCCCCTTTGACTTGCATAGAGCTCCCTGAACGCTGGTAATAGACGAGTTGGGATCGCGGAGAAATGCTCTCCGCAGACCCATTCTCACAGCGTTAGAAACCTTTTTCTTTCTCAATATCAAGCCACACTTATTGTTTTTACTTCGGCTGTGAGTGTTTGTGTGTGCTCAGGATGAGTTTCGCTTGTTCTCGCTGTATCGCCGACCCGGAAACCACACCAGTAAGTCAGATCATTGAGCAGCGAGCCTTGCAACGTCCCGACCAATCAGATCACACTGGGCTCACAGGGAGGGGGGGCGGAGCTCCAACAAGCCGTTTAGGACAGAGAGTGAATAGCTGGTGAATACACATACTACTGTATACAGAGATGCTGTATGAGAAACCAATGTGAGTTTGGAACATTGAACAATGTAAATCTATTCTAGTAGACCTAAACAATGGAATTATGATCAGGAGAAATGGCCATGACATGGGACCTTTAATGAACCATGGTTACACATGTATCCATCTATTCTATTTCCTTTTCTCTTCAGTCCAGCGGGCTGCTCTGCAGATGTGTACAGAACTATATGTAAAGGTTCATATTTGATGGTGAGGTGGGACTGAGGCTAAACAGTCATTATTTACAGGGAGGGGTGGGGAGGCATACACAGGATAAAGGGAACTGTTGTGTTGGTGATTTGTTCTAAATGGTTTCCTTTGTCATTGCCCATGTGTAACCTGCAAACTTATGAAATGCATTCATACAAATCAATATGTGTTGCATTGGTGAACTGGTTTTGGTTATAATGCATTTAGAGCTATTTTACTCTTTCATTTGATTAGGTTCAAATCTTTGCTGAAAAGCTTATACAAATGATCTTTTCAAATTAAGTTTAGCTTTGAAAATGTGGACCTATACTTGTCAAATTAGTAGACTTATATCAAATAAACCTTTATAAATATAAATGTTTAGCATTGCATATATGAAATAAAAAGTGTCTGTCTACATGTTTGATACCTTTTATATGTTGTGCTCGGACATCAAACTGTGAATGAAAGGTCTTTTTTTCCATTTGTAACTCAGAAATACAAATGTTTTATCTCCATGTATCAAAATGATTTGAAATACAGACCAAAGTGAAACAGATCTGTGTTGTTAGTCAATGGGTAGAGGATTAACGATATGATTTGCAAAAACATGCATACCAAATAAAATGGAATCATCACTATTGTGTTTTCATTTGGATTGATTTGTTTTTCATATACACTGCATGAGTGATGCCCCACACCGCTACAATCTAAGTATTGAATCTTCACAATATTAAAAATAAAACAACATAGGAAAATGGGTTAATTCAACTACAAATACCAAATAGTCAGCATCGTAAAAATATTCAAACCCATTCATTATTTGCACATTCTTTGTCTTGCAGTTTTTTTTTTTAATTGATCAAATGTTTTTCAAATGACTCTATCCCCAATAACCCATAATGACTAAGAGAAAACGTGATTTAAGAACACATTGCAAATTGATTAGAAATCAAAAGGTTCTCAAACGTGTGGTCAGAGGGGTCAATCACTGCTTGTCTTTCAGAGTGAAGCCGGCTTGAGTGACTCAAACAGCATTTTAAATGAATTCTGAGTGTCTAAGAGATTTCAGTTTTGTTTTTTAAATGTGCTAAAATGTATTGAAACCCTTTCACACTGTGTCCTCATGCTTTAATCTGAATTGACTATCATTACTATTTTATTATGTGTAACATACAGTAAAATTGTGTCTTGACAAAAAAAGGCCCACTAACTAGTCTGTCACATCATTGGCACTCTTCTTCAGTCCACCCTTGCTAAGGTACAGAGGGAGGTGCAGTTCTGAAAAAAACTAGTAAATTAACCTTAAGATATTTCTAACTGCTGTCACATGGTCAAATTGCATGTAATTTAAATACAAAATATTAGAAAATGGCTATGGTGATGATAATGGTTATGTTACGTTAGGTACGGATTTGAAGATCACAACTCAGATACAATGTTCCAAAAGTTCAGTTTAATCAAGGCAGGGTCAAAACCAGGAAATCCAGCAGTCAGGAAAATAAATCTAATAATGGGGGCAGGCAGGAAAATCAACGTCCAAAATCAGGCAGGCAACGTCCAAACCGGGCAGAACAGATGACTGCGAATAAAACCTGAAACACTGGCAAGCTTGGCAAAACACAAGACAATCTGGCAGAGGACAAGTGAGAGGGAGGTGGAATATACTATATTGTGGGGCTCATGAGGAAATGTGAGGGGAATGAGCTGATTACAAGAGCTGGGAGGAAGGCAGGATCTGAAATGACAGGAAAGTTATTGAGATGCGAAACCAAAATCGACTATGAGAGGGTTAGGGTTTATTATAGGTCAAATTAAGTAATACATCAATACAATATTTTAAATATATACTTGTGCACTGTGTTCATGACGTTGCAGTAGCATCATTTCTTCAGAACATGTGTTTTTCAGGTCCCCCAGCAGGGGGCAGCAGAGACCTTCAGAAGCTTCTGTTCTGCCGGATATTTCTACAGGAAGAAGAACAGCAGCAGGAAACGTCAGCCAGCCAAAATGGTAAGAAAGATAATCTGATTAACCCTCTGTGATTATATTTATACACATGAATTTCTGCAGCAATTTTAAGAAAAAAGCAGACTGAAACAGTTTGCTCTGATAATGAAGCAGCGCGGCTAATGCAGAGCTAACTCCTGCAGCTAATCTTCACTGTCAGAGCAACATGTCAGAGACATTCATGTTAGCTTCTACTGTTAGCTTCGTAAGTAAATCGGCTTTACGTCATTATCATTAACTTATTGTCTCTGTTCCGTTATACTAACTTTGGCGTGTACCTGACCCGTAAACAGCGACAGCTTCACAGTTCTCTCAACTCGAAAACCAGTTGTGCTCGAGATGTTCCTGAAGCAGTCATTGATGGAGACTGACCTGAGAGCTGCTCCTGTCAGAGCCCTGTCCCAGAGAGACATATTATGTCCTGTAGGGGAGGGGACCAGGCCAGCGTTGTAGCCTACTGGAAATAACGTTTCTAATAAAGGAGTTTATTTATTTTAAAAGCCGACATTTTGGTAGATAAATGTACTACATTTACAGAATAAGAATCAGGTGTATTGCCAAGTAGGTTTACACATACGAGGAATTTGCCTTGGTGTGTATGATGCACACATAAACACAGTTAAAGAAGATATATTGTAAGAAAAAGAAAACTATTATCACAATTTTTTTAAAACTATTTTTATAACATGAAAAGAACATAGCAGTGGGGCTTGGACAGTGAGCCGCAGGTTCGCCGGTTCTACGGTGTCTGAGAAGTGCAATCGACAATTACAAAGTGTGAAACACTTTAACAAAGCTTGAGACACATTTACATTTTATAAAACAAATTTACATTTTATAAAACAAATGTACATGTTATAAAACAAAATTACATTTTATAAAAACAAAATTACATTAGCGAAACACTTTTGCCAAAACTGAGACAAATTTACAAGTGTCGAAACACTTTAACATTTCCCGAATCA